GACAGAAAACTTCCGAGTGAGCCACAGCAGTGAGGGAAAACCTTGCCCTTCTTCCCTCTGCAATGGAATACACTGCAGGCCTTTGAAGATTAATCACTCGACAGAGGGAAACGATCTCAATTAATTCTATTGGAGTCACCTCTTTCTTTGTGGCTTGAATGTTACTCTCCTGAGGAAGGTGGACTAGAATGCAAATTTGGTTTGTAGCTCCAAAATCAAGGGCCTCTCCCAGATACCCTGTCCACTTAGCAAAAAATTGAAATCCTTTGTACCCAGAGTACCTCAACCTTTTTTCCTCTCCCTTCACCCAGCTCTTCTAAGGCCATGTCTGGGGGGCCTGTTAGTACAGCGGTGACTTTCAGGGTCCCTGGAGTCAGACTCTGAGTTTGAATCCTGACTCTACTTCTTGACAGACGTATGATTTTTGAAAAACATCTTAAGGTTCTTCTCTAAAAAATGGAATTAGAGCACTATACTAGTTTGCTGGGCTGCTGTGATAAAATACCACAGACTGGGTGGCTAAAAAACAGGCCTTTGTCTCTTCACCATTCTAGAGGCTGGAAGTCTAAGATCAAGGTAGAGGCAGGATTAGTTTCTCTGGAGGCCTCTCTCCTTGGCTTGTAGATGGCCACCTTCTCCATGTGCCCTCACATGGTCTTTCCTCTGTGTGAATGCATCCTTGGTATCTCTGTGTGTCCAAATCCCCTTTTCTTATAAGAAAAAAGTCAGATTGGATTAGGGACCCCTCTAATGATGTCAATTAACTTAATCACCTCTTTAAAGGCCTTATCTCCGAATACAGTCCCATTCTGAGGCCCTAGGGATTAGGGCTTCAACACATGAAATTTTGGGGGGAAGAATGACACAGTTCAGCCTGCAATAAGTACCTACATCACATGGTTCTTCTAAATAAGATAATGCATGTACATGCTCAGTGAATCATGCTGTGTTCTCTGGGATAGTCAGCTACACTGTTAAGGAATACATCTGTCTGGGACTCTCCCTCCCCTGCCCCAGTTGAGCCCCCAGAATTAGCTGGCTGCCCCAAAGCACCTTCTGCTGACAGTCCTTCAAGGATGAGATGCACTTACAGTCCTGTGGGTGTGGGAGGCCACAGGCTTTGTCCAGGGAAATGATGCAAAGTTGGCAAATCATAGGATATTTGATCCATTGACCAAGCATAACAAATGTGCCAATGTCATCGATGGGGTCCAGACAAGTTTCTTAGAGGTGAGTTGATAACAAGTGTATCTAATGCCCTGTTCCATTGGTTCTTGAGCCCCTGGAGGGCAAGTGTTACCCTCTGTTGAGCAGCCAGTGAGAAACCCAACTCCTTAATGGGATCCTAAAGTGGGCCTGGTTTTCCTGGTCTCTCTAGGTACTCAGCTCTTCAGCAGCACTAACTCTGGACCCACCCCCCAAAGAAAAAAATTTTGTCTAAAGCTTTGCTTAGAACAAGGAATTCTTTGGTGAATGTGGTGAATTAGAAAGTAGCCACCTCCGGACATTCCCCCTGCCCCATAGGATCATCTCTATCGATGCTGCTGGCAGAGAGAGTGGGGCAGGCTCAGCATGGCATTATGTCCCCACTCATGTTCCTTCCTGTCCCTGCTCACCCTGCTCCAGCTCTGAGGAGAAGGGGCTCCAGACAAATGCACTCTTTGTGGTCTTGGGCAGGGCCTCTGCCCTGAGCACCCTGCACACGGGCCAGGTGTCAGAAGTTTCCCCTCTCCCTTTTCCCTCTAACTTGGAGCATTTGCACAATGCCAAGGATGTGGCCTGGCATTCAAGGCCCTCAGGGACCAACAACTTGGTGTTAGAACAGACATCTGCCATTAGAGAAGGCTGATGGCCTTCATCACAAATGACCTCAGGAAAGGTGCTACCTGGTAGGCCTCTGGAGAGCCAAACTGACAAGGGACAGGGTGCAGAAAGAATGGAGAGCCGGGACCAATGTGATCAGGCAGGCAGAGAGCTGTACCGTGGGCCTAATTGTATTGTCAATGGTCCTCAGGGTAATCTTGGGCAAGGAACCCAAGCCTCTGTACTTCTGCGTCCTGTTGAATGGGTGGGTTGAAGTGGATGGTCCATGAAGCTTGCTGTGGATATACCATTTGGTGATCTACACTATACCAAGTTGGGAACAGACAGGCAGAGAGGTAAGAGTGAGGCTGGGCATCAGCCGGGCCTGTCTTCCATGTGACTATGTCCCAAGCCCCCCTTGTAATCCACATTAATGTCTCATGATGTTTGGGGAACATTCATGCGGGACTCTAGAGAGCAATTCCAGAAGCATTAACCAAGAAACAAGCAGTGTACCGGTCAGCTCCGAGGGAAGCAGTTTCTGTAACACTTCATGAAAGGTGAGGCAGGAACAGAACACCAGCTTTCAAAACCACAGGAACAGATCTGGAAATGTCATAGGTAACCCAGAAGATGGAATAATGAGGAAGAACTGTACTTGGCATGGCTATGTGATTGGTGGACATGAATTCCTGTTTATCTGTATTTGGTATGGACAAGACGAATGTCACAACACACAGAATATTGAGATCAGCACAGTGAAGGCTGAGGGGCTGTCCTGCTTCTGTCCGCCAAGTCTGTTCAAAAGCAGACATCAAAATAAGCCTGAATTAGGGGCGCCTGGGTGGCTCAGTTGGTTAAGCGACTGCCTTCGGCTCAGGTCATGATCCTGGAGTCCCGGAATCGAGTCCCGCATCGGGCTCCCTGCTCGGCGGGGGGTCTGCTTCTCCCTCTGACCCTCCCCCTCTCATGCTCTCTCTCTCTCTCATTCTCTCTCTCAAATAAATAAATAAAATCTTTAAAAAAAAAAAAAGCCTGAATTAGACCACGCTCCAGCAAAGCTAAGCTGCTTTTTCTTACTTCATGAACTTGGCACTCGTGTTTTTCTTAGAACCAGGGAAGTAATACATTTTGATTTATTAGAAGGAACCAAAAAAATCAAGTCTTCTTCCCATTCAGCTTCTGTAGAACTCCCATCTGATTATTAAAGGTTAGCAGTACCACCAAGATTATTAACATCAAGAAATGAGTTCACTAGGAGAGGGCTGATGTCACAAAGATGTTTAAGAGGAACTTTCTGATGATGCTCCAGGATTGGTAATAAGCCTGGCACAGACTACCAAGATGATGGCACATTCCCTGCCTTCTGGAAACCCACAGCCTAAATCATCTGACTCCCAAGAGGACCCGTTCCCCTCCCCTCCCACCCCACCACCAGACAACACAAACTCAAGAGTTAGGTTAACTTGACGACTGTGACTTGGTTGCAGAGCGCAGGTGGCCTCAGCAGGTGCTGGTGGAAATGCCCCTTGTGTACAAAGGGCAGAGCAGGACACATCAAGTACCGTGTTCAGAACTTTCCAGAAAGGTGAGAGGAAACTCATTAGGTGTTCTCAAGATTGGCTTCTATGGAGGAATTGGGATGGTTTCTCCCCTGTTTATTGTCAACAGTGGTTGCTATTGTTTACAAAAGCAATACATACTCATTGTAACAGTTAACAGTCTGGAGGTTTTTCTATGCTCACGCCAACATAATGGTTTTTATTATTGCGCTATATCATTCTGCAAGCTGTAAACCCAAGCATCTCTGTGAGATGTTGGAAGGAGTATGTGAGTGAGGTGGGTGAGGAAGGTGAATGCAGGGAGAGTGTAAAATGACAAGGGACTTTGACTCTCCCTGGGGGCTCGGAGGGGAGTGGGATGATGAGCAGAGCCCCAGGGAAAGACCAATCGAAGGCTGCAGGGCTGGGGCAGTTGAATGAGTTTCTTGATGAGCAGGCTCCTGGACCTTTGAGCTGAGAGAGGTTGATGAGGTAACTTTGACTTCAGCCTGGAGAATGTCATAGGGGAATTGTGCTCTGGTATGAGGTTAGGGAACCTTGTAAGGAGATGGGTGCCAAAGGAACAGTATTCAGGACTCCAATTGAATTGAGTTGCATTTAGTTCTGAAATCCGGAGAGAAAGGAAAAACAAAAGAGGCTTCAGATGGAGCGGAGAAAATGCGTGAGGGCGTTGAGAGGGAATGGGGAATCTTGTTTGAGAGGAGGTTGTATGGTAATACTTGCCTAATAATTGGTTTCTTGTGGGTGGATTTGGAGAAACTCCACTAACTATATATTGTGTTGAGTTTGATTGAGTTACAGAAATCCAATAGGCGGCCTTATAAATAAAATTGCTCTACCGCAATTGAAGTATGACTTGGGATCAGACACATTCACTTGCCCGCCGAGGAGAAATGCAGGGAATGACAAGCAGAGGATGGTGAGCGGAAAAGGCATTCCTGAAGCATGAGCAACAGTGCTGCTGAGTCAGGACAGAGACCAGACATGGATGGGCCTCCCAATCCAAGGCCTCAGAGAACTTTGAGCAGAGTGGTGGGTTGGAGAAAGCAACAAAGATTGGACAAGAATGAGAGAGACAAGAATGAATGAGAAAGGCAACCATCGAAACAGGCAGGATATCTCAGGGTGGTCATAGGCAGGGGATGGAGAAGCTAAATGCAAAAGCCTTAGTTCAGAGGCATGGGCGAGCTGATGAAAAAGCAATGGAGACTCCAGTGCTTTCCCAGAGGAGAACAGTGGTGGAACTTGGGGCAGTGAGCAAGCCGAAGGGCTTCATCATCGGTGATCCCTTCTGTGGGCTCCTCTGAGAGCCACCAGGCTGCTGGGGACAGGGCCACCGACCCCGGCCACACATGTGTGTGCAACAAGGATCCCCGCAAGCTCATGATGCCTTAAAACAGAACACCTGCCGCCCGGCCCATCGCAGATGCAGTCGATCACCACGGTGGCCCCAGTTCTCGGCTCCCTTGGCGAGGCACGTCAGCCTCAGCTTCACTCTTGAGTCGTGGGTCCCCAGGAGTTCCGGACTGGGTTGCGAAAAGTAAAACTAGACCGTAAAAGTTGTCAGGTTAGGGAACAGCGGTGACCTCAAGATCCAGTTCCTGATTGTGTGTTTCTTTCTCCCTCCTCCTTTAGACTGCGGTGTGTGTGGGCGTCTCCTCGGCTGGCAGCCCCGCCCTGCCCGGCGCTCGATGTCCAAGGTTTTGACTGTGTGGGTTTGTGTCTTTCCGGCAGGTGTCTCCTCTGTGACTTCCCTGATGTCCCTGGCTTGGGTGCTAGCCTCCTATCACAAGCTGCTGCGGGACTCCAGGGACGACAAGAAGAGTATGAGCTACAGAGGGGCCCTCATCCAATTCTTCTGGCGCCTCTTCACCATCTCATCCAGAGTTATCTCTTTTGCCCTCTTTGCTTCCATATTCCAGCTCTACTTCGGGATCTTCGTGGTGGTTCACTGGTGTGCCATGGCCTTCTGGATCATCCATGGCGGAACAGACTTCTGCATGTCCAAGTGGGAGGAGATCCTCTTCAACATGGTGGTAGGGATTGTGTACATTTTCTGCTGGTTTAACGTCAAGGAAGGGCGGACTCGATATCGAATGTTTGCATATTATACAATAGTCTTGACCGAGAATGCTACCTTGACGTTCCTTTGGTATTTTTACAGAAACCCGGAGACCACTGACTCCTACGCGGTGCCAGCACTGTGTTGTGTCTTTATTAGCTTTGTGGCTGGGATCGCAATGATGCTCTTATATTACGGTGTGCTGCATCCCATGGGGCCGCGAGTTAAGATTTTGGCCAGCTCCTGTTGTGCCGAGCTGCTCTGGGGCATCCCTTTGCCCCCCGATGTTGAGCCCATGGCGCCTCAGACCCCTGGGTACCGGGGGACCCAGGTCACGCCTACCAGAGCCGTAACGGAACAACAGGAGGATCTCACGGCTGACACTTGCTTGCCCGTTTTCCAAGTGAGACCCATGGGGCCCTCTATCCCGCCGGGGCGTCCTTACTACCCAGAAGGGCCCCTCATTAAGATTGACATGCCAAGAAAGAGATATCCAGCTTGGGATGCTCATTTTGTAGACAGGAGGTTGAGAAGGACTATTAACATTCTGCAGTATGTCACCCCCACTGCAGTAGGCATTCGGTATCGAGACGGACCGCTCCTTTATGAGTTGCTACAGTATGAGTCTTCACTCTAAGAGCATCTTGACCCAAGTTGAGAAGGGAACCTTAAGTTTGGTTTGCAGTAAACACCGCTCACAAGAAATATAACCCTCCCTTCCCCCAATACACAAAACCACCACCACCATCACCAACACCAATGCTACAAAAAAAAAAAAGAAAAGAATAAGTCACAACCCCTTCAGATAAGCTTTCTTTCCAGTCGCTGTATGTATACAAAGATATTCTCTATGTTTTGTAAGTAAAAACAAAAAGAAAACTTTTCTTTTGTTTTTTACACATAAGAAACAGTATTGAAAAAAATCCCACACTATGGTTCATAGGGTGGAGAAGGAGGAGTTGTCTCCACTCCAAAAGAAAAAAAAAAAAGTTTTATACCTTACACCAAGTGTAGATCATTTACAGGATTGGTGCTGATTGAAAGAACAAAACAAAACAAAACAAAACAAACACAAACAAACAAACAAACAAAACCTTCAACTGCCTTATGCCCTTAGGTGCTGAGTTTCATTAAGTACTGTCATGTTTCCTCATGCAAAACTCTCTGGTGACTTTTGCTCCAGGAGAGGAAAAATTAAACAATCAAATGAAACAGATCTAGAAACAAAACGGAAACCAACCAACAAAAAAACCGCAAAGCAATCATTCTTCCTATCTGATTATTTGTATTGAACAAAACAAATTTACCAAAAGCAAAGGCATAGAAAACCCTCCTCTTTTTGGTTTCTCTCCCTGTCCCCTGTCCTTGCCCCTAACTTATCAGCGCCTTCTAGGAGCCAAAATGCTGGCTGTTTGAAACTCAGATGGCTGGAAAAGGTACTTGAAGGCTGACTATGTGCCATTTTAGCATTCACTGCTAAGAATCGCATTTGTTTCCTGGGGTAAAGCAAAACAGGACAAAACAAAAAGCCACCCCAATAATTCTATAAGAACAGGAAATTCTAAAGCAAATTAAAGGAGATTTCCATTTATGTAATCAAAGAACATCAGTAATAATAAAACTCAGCATAGTAGCAAAAAGAATGACATCAATTTAAAGGCACAATACTTAAATCAGTGACCGGCAAAAATGATTCGTTCTGTCATTTTAAGGCCGTGAAAGGTATACATTTATCACGTGTGATATTGTGTAAGGCCTCTTTTGTTTCCATTTGGTGGGAAGCCTTAAATTGATCTGGAAAGAATTCTTCATTTTTTATTTGTGCTTTTTAAAAATATTAACAAAAGAGGAAAATTAGAATATAAAAAAAAGTCAAATTGTACTAACTGACCCATTTCAAAGACTGTTTGGTGCTTCTGTCTTTCACCATTGTGGTTGGCTGAAAGTCATTCAGCTCACTCGGTGCATCTGGGTTGAGTGGGAAATTTTGTGTGTGTGGTGAGTGTGTGTGTGTGTGTGCGTGTGCGTGTGTGTGTGCCCATAGCACACGTATATATGTGTGTATGTATCTGCTGCAAGGTCTTGCCAGAAATGTAGAAAACGGATATAAGACAGACTCTGGGTATGGCTGAGGTGGAGTATAAGGGTGCTGGGGAGCGGGCAGCAGGGAGGGGGGGATGGTGCTTGAATATCAGCCCCCGTCTGGATGGCGAAACTCATACCAGCAGCAGACTCTGGCTCTTCGAGGCCACGTCATTTGGGTGAAGATTTGATTCAATTATTTATTTTCACATTGTACCAAGTCGAATTTCTGGAGGTGTTGCAAGTATGTTCAACCATTTTTAAATGTTATTTTTCAAAGTATTACTCCTGTAAGGAATATTCTGTTCTAGGGCATCTTTTCAATCCCATTGTATCTCTACTTGGGCACACACACACACACAAAAAAAAAAAAAAAAAAAAGGAAAAGAAAAAAAATCACAAAAAGAAAAAAAATCTCCACAAAAAGAAAGATATATATATATATATATATATAAGTGTGTGTGTGTATATGTATATGTATATACACACACACACAATATTTTTCAGTAAATATCATTTGTCTTTGTTGTGTGGAGCTGCGATTTTTTTTAAATTCCAGATATAACTGTTTAGGGTGCAAGACCTCATATTGAACTATTCTCAAGAGAAGTTCAAAAACTGAGGATTTTTTTTTTATGTTTGTGGGTTTTTTAAAAAAATTATTATTCAAAGAGGCTTCTCTTTCCCATTCCCTCTTATTGTTTATCTAAATCTGTTTAAAAAAAAGAAAAGAAAAGAAAAAAGAAAAAAAAGAACAAGTTTTCAATTTCATTTCAGTTGTAAACTGGATGCTCCTTTTTTTTTTTTTTTTTGTTCAGATTCCTTTGATTTCCTTTATTATTACTAAACTTTGCAGTGCCGTCCTGTCCCCCTCCCTGACTCGGTTGTCCCCTCAGGTCCTCCCTGGTGGAAAGGAGGAAGGGAGGAGAGGTGCAGAAAGGCTGTGGCCCTCGTGCCCATCCATGTAGGAAGCATGATGCACAGAGCACACCTTGGCCTTGGCAAAGACCAGCCATGCGGGACTGTCTCCGCCCAGCCCGGGACAGGCCCATGGGCCACTCAACGATAAATTGGGAATTCCGATCCGGTCAGCGGTGCTTTTCCTTTTTATTCTGCTTCCCTACCGAGGGCTTAGCTTGCTGCTTACTCTGCTGAGGCTGGAGGCGGTGAGGCCATTTGAGAGGGGCCATCCCATCCTGGCTTGCTGGGGCCCCAACTCTTGTTTGCCTCAGCTCTGGGGCTCGGTGTGCCTGGAGCCCTCTAGACGTCCATCACCAGAGCAATCCTCGACCCTGAACCCCATGCATCCCTTTGGGACTTCTGCCACTTTCGCTTGTTTGCCTGTCCTTGGATTTATTTCCTTTCTCTTTCTGTTTCATTGTGACACAGCCACAGGGTTTAACTGGCCGCTCGTGTTCTACTACTCCACATTCAGCATGTGTGTGTACGCGTGTGTGTGCGTGTGTGTGTTTATGTTTACACGCAACTGAGAAAATCACCGAAGTTCATGGACGTGGAGCGCCAAAAGTTGGGGTGACAACTTCCAACTCAGGGAGGGCCCTCTGGGGCCTTAGCCACTGGGAACAAATGAGAAGATCACAGGACATTTCAGAAATCCTTTCTTTCAACCTCTGCTGGACTGGGCTCAGCAAGACACAGGCAGGAGGGCACACTGATCCTGTGAAACGTTACTCCTCACCCCTCCATCACGCCTGTTACTTTCCTGAGGATGAAAAATGAAAATATGCATTATGAGCAGCAACAGGGAAATCTGGTTTTGCATAGGGACAGAAGAAGGAAGACAAGTCTGGAAAGAAGGAGAAAACATGGGAGGGAGGCAGGGACACATAAAGAAAATGACCAGACTTTTCATCCGCCTCCTTGGTACCATCAGCCTATAGCAGGTCCTTGCGTTTCCAATCATCCGGAGACCCTCTGTCCACTAGTCCCGAGCAGCCGCTCCCCTGTGGTCTTCTCTCCCCCTCCGGTGTGCTTTCCCCCACCTCGCACAGCGGCTGGTGTTTTCCACCCACTCCCCTGGAAGGTCTTTCTCCTTACCTGGAAGACTCTGGTTCTGAAAGCCCAGACCTTCCAGGCTGCTCTGCGCCAAGGTCACTCTTTGAACTCGGTGAACAGCGGTGGCCTCATCCCACACTGAGCATCTGCTTTGTGTCTGCCATTTGCTTGAGCGCCCGGCAAACCCCTTATGGACCATGAGGCGCCGGGTCAGGCTGCCCCCTCTGCCCTCCACCCCTATCCCCAGGGGGGATGATGCCTGATGAAAACTAATTAACTCTCAATATTTAGTTCTGGTAGGAGATGAGAGCGTTTTAGCAGGAGCTGTAGAATAAAATAGAAAGCTAGTCCCTTTTCTTTACTTATTGCCACCCGCCCCCTTTCATATATGCCCACAACCCTCCACAGAGACTTTGGCTCTTCTTTTCATTCTCAGATATGTGGTACTATCTCTAAAATCTGGTTGATTTTGTTAACATCATTTCTGTAGGTCCTGTTTCTCTGTTGCTCAGTGGGTGTGGCTCCTCTCTGGGCCTCTGCATGAAAGGAAACCTCATTCTGCTCAGATACCATCGAGGTGACATCCCCTGAGCTGGTTGTCACAAGCCCAGGACATCCCAAATGGGAATATCATGTCTCTCAAGGCCATGATGAAGGGAGCTAAGGAAGGTTTAAATTCATCAAATGAGCCCCCACTGGCCTCACTCACCCTCAGAATTTCTCTTATCTCAAACACACTTCTCTACTCTTGTCTCTAGAAGGTTCACCTTGCCCTGCAAGGTCAGACTCGTCCAAACAAGTTGGGAACGAGCGGCGCTATGGAGACCAGGTCCCATTGCTCTTGATGGCACGTGCTACCAACATGTCCCTTTCCAGTGGAGGAAGGACAATACTTCCTTACGGTCCCAGGGGCTCTCCCACTCCTGCCAGATTCCCCTCACTCTACCTCCCCAGGCACAAATTCAGCCAGTACTCTATGGCCCTGGTGGCTTAGCTTGTCATCACCTCAGTAACCATGGCCCTTTGAGTCCCAGAGTGGTTTAAAAGAGTACAAATACCTGTCTGGACCATGGTCATGAGGATGATTCTATTGGCCTTGTGGCATCTCATGGCATCAGCATCAGGCCCCGGCCCAATAAAAGCCTTATTCTTAGAAAAAATTACAGGTTTTTAGAAAACACCAAATGACATCATCTTCTCAGTTCTCCCTCTACTTTTACTCCCTCCCACACAGTCATAGTGGCAGAAGCAGAGGTTTCTGATGCTGATCTCGTTTGCAGAACCTCTTAAACAGACAGTGCCCTGCTCCTTTGTATACACCAAAACTTCCCTTGCTGTGTTTATGTGTGCGACAGAGAAAGCCTACTTCCCCTCCCCTATCTACTCTGCTCCTTGCTTCTGGGGATGGAGGGATCTATCATGAGCCCCAAGCCCTGACGCCTCCAGACTGGAGCAACATTTTCTCCTTTACCTAGGAACAGGTGTAAAGAAAGGACAGCAGTGTGCAGGCTTCGAGCCTTTGGTCTGGAGAAAAGGATGCCAGATTCCAAAGGACAATGGGGCCCCAGCGTAGCATACCTATAGCGTCCATGCCCTCTGGCTCCCAGCTTCGCAGATGGGGTGAACTGGGTCATCTAACGCTTGTTTAGCACCCAAGATGGCATTTTCTTTCCCAAGGAAAATGGCTCCTTACTCAAAGTGAGCCTTTTCAGGCCTCTTGTGGGTGATGACAAGCACCTTCACGTGGTGGCCTTCATGAGGATGCACTCTTTGTGGACACTCATTTGATTGTCTTATTGAAAAGCTGAAACCTGTTATTTCTTTGCCAAACAGAAAAATGTTAAAATAACACTATCAGATTTGCTTGGATGAGGGGATGGATTTAAATTTGGAGAGTGAAGAGAGCTCATTGCAATTAATTTCACCTAGATTCAAGGGATGTTCCCAGTGTAGCCTCAGAAAACAGCCAGGGAAGTCTTGAAGAGTTCAGAGGAGACCTGGAAAGACCCTGCATGATGAAAGAGAGCACAGACACCTAGACTCACCCCAGTGGCCAGATCAGCCTTATGGGTAGCAGTTCTGTTCATTTCATTCTCAAACATTTATTGACTACTAGATTCTGTCAGGCAGCCCTCCTTGTGAAGCACACACAAGTATCCTGTAGGAAGTGAATTTAAGTCAATATCAGCTCCTCTTACTGAAGTCCAGGTGTGAACGGGGTGAATAAGATGGGAAAATTCTTCAAGGTTACAGTCTGTGTCATTATCTCCTCATCCAAAACTGGCCACAGTCAGAGGCAACTTTCCATTCTCATCCGCAGGTCAACCTCCTGGACATGGAAATTGCAGTGGTTAGCCTGTCACAGGCTACAAAACCATCAGTTTGTAAGAGGGCTGCCCCCAGAGCATCCTAAATCAATGTGTGCCGGTCCCAGTTGGAAAACTTGTAGAAAGGCAACTCTGCCCTCTCAGAAATTTCTTTTTTCTTTTTTTTTTGTTTAAGCCCCTCACTGGGGTAAAAAGATGCATTCCTGCAATGACAACACAAGCCTCTTTCTCCTCCATCCTTAGATATTTTAAAGATTTCATTTCCTGCTTAAACCACTGCATCTTATGCTACTGGCCAAATATCAAAAGACAAGGGCACTGCCTTGATCTGCCTGCAGCTTTATTTCTTTGCCTGCCTGGTTCTGTCTGCCTTACTTGACTCTCCTGGGCACCATCTGCTTCTTCTCTGTCTGCTGGAAAGGAGTTGTGCCTTCTTGCTCCCCATACCTTTCCTTGCAGTGGCTGGCAGGACATGGCTGGTATGTACTGGAGCCAAAGGTCGGGAGTGCTATTAATGGCAGCTCCTGAGGGCAGCAGACGGACAACCGTAGGAGATCCCCCTGCACATGGCCAACACCTTGTGTCAAGGGCTAGAAATAGACCAAATTGGAAATGAGCAGGCAGAACCTAAGGGACACCTGCCCTGGCCTGCCTCATCCCATGCAGAACAATATGCAAGCCCAGGTAGGAGATTCCTGCCCCTGCCAATCCCTAACATGAATCACAAGACCCCACAATGCAAACCGAAGTCAGTCAGCTCACCCATGCTCATCCAGGAAGGACTACTCCTAAAATCCATCCTTAAACCAAGGAGGACCAAAAAATAATTTCCTTTGGGTATAGTGCCAATTGGTAACCCAGTGAACATCCCTCTAGAAGTAGCCTTCGGCCATATGTCATGGTGGATATGGACAACTGGTCACCTAGTAAATGACTCCCTTAGTCTGTTTCTCTATCCCCAACATAGTCCTGGCTGGGGTCGTCAGACCACAGTGGGGTTAAGAGATTTGTTTTAGCTGTAGACCTCCTAGAAGCTTTTCTTTAGACCCAGAATGATCAGGAAATATCACAGGCTGATTCAGGGTCCCCACTGTGATCATGGATAACTCACTTCACCTCTCGGTGCCTTGGTTTCTCCATCTGTAAAGTGGAGAGAGAGAAGGCCAACCTCTTTCTCTCCTGCTCAGGGATGCTGTGAGGATTCAGTCATTATTGCCTGTAGCAAAGGCATCATACAAGGAATAGTGGTGAACTCGTTACTTGGAAAATGGAACCACAGGATCGTATGTTCTCCAGGTGCAGTGGCACCTGGAAGCCCACAGGATGAGCAGTACAGTTGGACAGGGAGAAGTCTCACATACCTATAGTTCTTAGATACTTCACAGCACTGTGAACCCAGCACAATGGTACTCTGGTCTGATGACCGGGGGTCACCTAGCTCAAGCCAGCCACTTGTAATCCTAAACCAAATGTACTAATATTAATTTTTCCTAATGTATCAGAGAATATATGGAGGGATCAGTTTGAAAACTGATACTTACTGAGCTTTGGGCAGACAAGAGAATGGGTGCATGGGGAGCATTTGGATGGTTTTTAAGGTGGGCGAAAGCTCTTTAGGAACTATCCCTCACTTTTGTTCTTTCACACAATCTTTTTCAACCTTGAGGCTTTCATCATCAAATGGGCTCATCTTCTCTTTGCCTCTTTGCAGAGTAAAGAAACAAAACTTTGTTTTTTTTAAAAAACATCCATCAGCCAAAACGTGGGTCCCAATTGTGGGTTTTAATCATTCCCTGGTGTGCTTTGAGTGGAGCCTACAGGCAAAGATTCAGAGACAAACAGGGGCTGGGGAATATCACAATGATTTTTATCCAAATCAGGGTATTTTTTCCTCAACATTTGAATTGGAAAATTTAGTTGAGTTTCTTTTTCTTTCCTTTTTTCTTTTTTTTTTCTTTTTACTATGGTTTGACTGTTATCAATTCAACTACCAAGATACCCTTTGAGCAAGAAAACAGACCCATGTTAAGAACCTTTATGTTCTTCTTAGGACTAAACTAGAGTGAGGGTAGGTGGGAGCAGTGGAGAAGGACACTAGCACTCCAGGAGGACCAGCTGCAACACTGATTTTCTATTGGCTCTGAGAACCTTCTTGGAGAGGAAAATTCTAGAAGCTTTACGTTCTGGATCAGTCAACCTGGCTCTGGCTCTGGCCTTTTCCTTGGAGTTCAGGTGTTTTTGATGTAAAAATTCTATTCCCACCCCCCAAAAGGCACCTTCTGAGACTGTCCCAAAGGAACAAAGAGTTCACCCAGGCAGGTTCTAGTTGTTGCTGAAAAGCCTCCTGCTCTTTGGCTGTGGATCCCTGACAAGAACTCCTTTCCCACCTGCTCTGACTCTGCTCTCTAAGACTAATATTATTGTTTTGACAGCACAAGGGACCAGACCATAGTTCGGAATTCAATAATGACTTCTGTTTGATTTTGTATCTGATCATTCTGTGGATAGACCAAATCCTGCTGGGATTATTTGTTTCCACAAGGTATTTCTGATAGTTTCCTGAAGGAAGGAATAAATGAGACCTCAGATTGACTCCCTGTTCTCATCGGCACTCCTTTTTTGACTGGGATGGATGGCAAAGGAATTGTATGGCATTTATGAATGAGAACTTTGAAGATGGACACGTGGAACCACAGAGAACAAAATGACTCAGTAGATGGGTAGGAAGAGTGATAAAGAAGAGAAAGGCTTCCAGAAGTATGTGGAAAGAAAATATTTGCAATCATCTAATTGTTACTTCCTACACACTCTGGGACGGAAATAGCAAAGCATATTCTTTTCAAACAGAGGAAATCGATTTTACTGAGTGACATATTTAAGCATTATTGTTTTACTAAAAGGTCAGAGAAAGCATCTCAAGAAAAGAAAGTCACGTTCTCATGAATGGATCATGTCACTAGAAGTAGAAAATCCAGGACTCTATCCTTTTGCGGACCTAGGTCAAGTCACTCTTGGGGCCAATTTCTCTTTCTGTAAAATGGGAAGAGTATTGCTTACTTACCTCACAGGGGTGTTGTGAGGATAAGGTCATTAATGTCTTGGTAAAGCACTTTGAGGATAAAAAGTATTATGGTTATCAAGTTTGCTTCCTATTTAAAATCCTTTTAAACTTCCATTGAGCACCTGTGGTGTGCAAGGCATCCATGCGAGGTGCCATAGAAGAAGGGGAAGGTGATCTAGCTCCTCTCCTTTTTTTCCAATTAATGGATATTTTTAAAAGATTACAAGAGAACAGAATAACAAAGTTATCTCTATGAGGGGTCAAGAAAGATGTTCTCTGTCTTTCCGCACAGAAAGGCTACTCTTCTTTCCCTCCCAAATATTTGGGCAAGAAGGAAGGGCTTTAAATCCTTTGGCTTCCATCAGAGAATGCTATTCTGAGAAGCAAACAAATATCGGTTGATCTTCTCCCCTTGGGGGAAAATGAAGGCAAATCTCAGTGAGTGCATCCTGTGACCAGCAGATATGGTTCTATTATTTCGGTCATTCGTCCTGCTCAACTTCAGTTTTCCCATAGCCTTCATCTTCTCTCTCCAGACCAGAGAGCGGTTTGCTTATGCTGTGCTGGAACAATAATAGCTGGATATGTTTTGGTTGCTTTGTGTCATTGGAGAGTCTGGTATACTGTTGTTTGCTGGAAAGTCTTGGCTTCCAAAGACAAGGGTCTTTACTAGAAAACAAATCAAAACACGTGACTTGTCTTTAAAAAAAATTTTTTTCGATCGTGGTGGGGGAAGGAATTCTCAATTGCTTAGCGATCAAAAGCCTTTTAAAATTTCTCATTTGTTTTTCCACGTGCAAAGTTCTTCCCTTCCCAAACATACTCAAGGAACCGAGTCTGGAATCTCAAATATTCTAAAATATAGCACATCTCAAATTACTCTTTGAGTGCTGTGCCCAGAGTTCTCTAGTTTCTACAAAAAGCCAAACCACCTACTGAGCTAAGCAGGTTGGAATTCCAGTCCCAAGGGGAAGCTTCCTGGAAGTGGCCCAGAGCTTAGCTGGAGGAATGCTCTTTCGATACTACTAGGGCTGTCTCCCTGGATCTCCAGAAATCTCCATGCCACAGAAAAAAAACATCCTCAGAGCTCAGTGGGGGCTTCCTCTGTTGTTTTAGAACCAGAGTGAAACCGCTTGTTATTTTGAAAATGACTATATGATGCCAGTCTTTAGGGAAAGAAAAGGATTCCTTTCTTTTCCTTTCAGAGGTCAGAAGGGACAAAGAGAAAGGGAAGGTTATTTGATTTGAAAAGACATGGGGCTCTGTGGCCCACAGTGGTCCTCATGTTGGACACAGGACTCGGGAAGCCCCATGTGAGTTTGTGCAGGAACCCAAGATAGTAAGGAACCGTTTTCCTTTCAATCCAAGGAAGGGATGTCTTCAGTTTTTGTGCTGCCTGGCCCCAGATCATATTGTGCTTCTCAGCCACTTCTCCGCCCCTCTCCAGCCTGTGCCCAAGACAGTCCCACCTCCGGTGTTCATTCCAAAACGCCTTCCTTCCCTAAGGCAAGTCCCTATAGGCACACTGCTTCAGGCTGGGCTGTTTGTCCAAACTCAACCCATTAGCTCCCTGACCCCACTGTTGCTGCACGCTTCCACCAAATATGTCATCAGCCACACAGGACCTGTCCTTGCAACCCCTGTATGAGCCATGGCCCTAGCCTCTCCAGGAGTCCAGCCTGCCTGAGGTCAAGGCCAGGCTGCATTTCTTCATTTAAATACATATAGATGCCTTTAAAAGGTGTGGCTCTTTAAAAAGGGTTCTGATGGAGATTTTTGAATGGAGGGCAGGAGAGAGGGGCTGACTGTGTTACTTCAGCATTTGGGGACACTCACTGATAACTTCTGAGGCCAATAAGGGCCTCCAAGTGAAAATACCCTTTATGCATCCCCTGCGCTATCTAGGGCATTTAGCGCATCAACATAACCAAAAGCCCTTGTGCAATGTGATGACTCACAGCGTGGTAGGGTCCCCTCCAATGTCACCATGGAGGCTAACCTATGACACCTCCTCGTGACTGAGGGCTTCATTTTTATTTGCTCGAAATTTTAGTGATTATGAAATGCCAGAGAGAGAGCGACACGGAGAGAGCGCACTGAAAGCCGCATAAGCTGTGAGGTGATCTGAGATTTTGAGATTATTGTGAATTGTGCAGAACCTAGGAGCCTCGGTGAGAAGTACACGACCGTATAACTGCATTCTAAGCTTATTGATCACAGCTAAATACCTAACTATGCCAATCTTGGGCATATATATGTATATACAAATATACTATACACACACACACACACACACGTATGTGTGTATCTTTTCCTTAAAGGGCTTAAGAAGTTAATGAAACAGGGTATTTTGATGTTTATAGCTCTTGCCGGACTTGAAATAGACCCAGCTTAGGTGGGTTTTTCTTTCTCTGGGGCACGGGGCCATGAAGTGGCCTGGACTGAGATGTGCCTCCCTCTCCTCCACCTGGGACAGGAGGCCAACGGGGGCTGTGCTGGGACTTTGAGGCTCTCCAGTTGCTCCCAGCATTCTCAGCAGGTCTGCAGAGCAACCTGCAGACTCCAGGCAGCAGCTTTCTCCAATAGCTTCCTACTTTCTGGCTTTCAGATCACACCGAATAACTCCGACCCATTAGCACAGTCCTCCCCAGAGCGAGTGAAGAGAGGGAAGCATCCTTGGAGAAGGAAGGTGGAAGTTACTACCTGGACCCTGGTTGGCATTAGATGTCCTTAGGTTGCCAGGATTTCTGGCGGGGGAAACCCAAGCCTGATGGGTCTGGACCTGCAGCACTGGTATCCACACATGATGTGAAGTCCACCCAGTGAAGCAGCCCCCTCCCGCCCGAGACTTGGGGAGTGTGACATCCTCTTCCGGTGACTCTTACAGACGGGAGACATTTCAGAGCGATCACGTTGTAGGAGGCAGAACTGATTTTAGAGCATTGCCCAGGTGGCTACAAGTCTGGAGTCTGTCAGAGAGACCTGGGAAGAAACAGGTACACTCGGTGTGAAAAAGTCACTCAAATTCCCTCTTGCCCTGGTGACAGAATCCACACGACCCAAGGTGCCAGGATATCTGGTTTTGCTGGAAGAGTCCTTCCACAGAAGGGAAAGAGCATTTGAGGTTCTCTGAAGGGGAAAGATACGAATGCAATACAGAGCTTTGAAGCATGTGCTTTCTTTCCTGACCTGCATCCCATTCTGAGGTCCCTCCTTTGACTGGATGGGCAAGGGAAGCCACCCGCAGTGAGGTGAGCCATATTCTAAGAATGCCTGGGATCTGGATATGTGTGGGAAAGACAGCCACTGCTACCTGAAAGGCCTTGTGTTAGGTGGGAGAAAACCACAGGGTCTGGACAAAACTCCTAGAGACCTTTTCAAGCCCACTGCACAGGAGCAGTCTTTGGGGTCCCCTCCCTTAACCTGTCACAGATGCAGAATGCCACTCTGGGAGCATATGTGACATCCTCCCCTATCGATGTCCCTTTATCCCCAGGGCCATTCCCAGTGTATAACAGTGTCATTATCTTTCCCCTTGCATGGACTTCTTTGTGACGAGACATGTTTCCAAGAAATCTACTTTTCTATTGGTGTTACTGAAAAAGCAGCTCCTTGGGGCACAAGGAGAAAAATTTGGAGGTGGGGAAAGGGAAGATGAGAGCACAATTCTGGAGGGGCTAAGGGTGCAGCCCTGCCTTCCTATGTGGCTCTTTTCTTTTACTTAAAAAATTATGGATTTGTTACAGAAGAAAATATACAAACAGGGAAGGAGGGAAGGAAGAAGGGAAGAAAGGAAGGGAGGGAGAGAGGGAGGAAGGAAGGAAGGAAGGAAGGAAGGAAGGAAGGAAGGAAGGAAGGAAGGAAGGAAAGAAGGAAGGAAGGAAAGATGGAAGGAAAGAAGGAAGAGAGAGATAAGGAAAAGAGAGAAAGAAAGAGAAATCAAATCTCCTCAAGACTGTCATTTCTTGGTGTCTGTGGGTTGTCACTATGGTTTGCTGTTCAAAGCAAATACATTTTTCTCCCTGCAACTGGGCAGAGTTTTCCGGCATTTTCTAACTGTGTCTGCCTAAGAACAGGCCACAGAACCGTGGCCCTGGCCTCATGGACGTCACCCTGCAGTCATGTTTTGGGTCTCCTCATGTGCTCACCTGGTCACAGGCTCTCTCGACCCGTCTGCCTGGTGAGGTGAGGCAGCCTGCAGGGGTCAGAAGGCTGGAATCAAATCTCTCTTCTCAAAATGATGGCTATTTTTCAGGATGTTTTCACATTTGTTTAGTCTTTCTTGGATACTTGTCTACCAGTCATTCTTCCCTTTTTAACCCAATAAAGCTGGTGACTGCTAACTGACTCTTTATGGAGCAAAACTATTGAAATTCTCAGGTAATTCAAAGCCTTGAGTACATAAAATTTGTCATTTTCCCTAAAAGGCTGACAAAATATTCTTGTTGCTTCTATTTACCCTGAGCATTAGCCATGTCTGAAAAACTGGCTTATGTGTATATTTGAGGATTTAAAGGAAGTAGAGACATAAACACCCTTGATTTTGACATTCCAATAATTTCCCTCCACTGAACCAATGATCTGGGATGCATCCATAAAAGGAAAGTTCTGGAACTTGGTAATTCCAGGCTGATGCTATGTGCCCTAGTCCCTCTTCGTCCATTTTCAATGAGATGGGGAGTTTTCTGTAGGAGCTTTAGTCACCCACATGAAACTCACCCTTGTATCTGGCTGCAAATCTTTCATTTTCCCTTTTCTTCAGTTCTGAGCAGCAGCTGTGTGAGTAGAATATGGCTTCCAAAACTCAGACTATGTCTTCCTTTACTCTTTGCTGGTGTTAAAAATAATTTACAGTGAAATATAGGCTAAGGATTAGACCTATCAGCTGAGCCTCCCAAACATACAGGTATATGCCACCTCCTTTTGACCAAATTCTCAACCTAAGGGAATACAAATGAGCCTATTACTAGTCCCTTCTCTCCAAAGAAAGGATTTTTTGGAAGTGGCTTAGCCAAAGAAGTGGTGGGGGGGAGGGGAGCCTAGGAGGAAACTTTGCCCTTTGTCAC